ATTCTGATGATATTGATGGTGATGTTGATTTGTTCATATAGTCTGCATCCATACTGTTATGAAAGGAAAATTTTGCATTTGGACACAATTAGACATACATGAAATAGACTGTGACTACTGAGCGAAATTATAAACGAATCGGCTAAGTGAACTGACAAAAAATTCAAGTGGAAACATGTATCACATTTTACCAATTGTTAAATTACCATTTTCAGATTGTGTATCCCATAAAGCAATGTAAGATGCATTTGACTTTTTCGTTTATGAGTGGATTGTGGAGACACTATTTTTTGTGCTTTTAGACCAAGTGGTTGAGGAGTTATGATCATCCATTACCTGTTGCTTGTTATTTGAATAGCGCCTTTCTTTTCAGTTACAAAGTGCTGAAGTTCTTTTTCCCTGGTCATTGGGTCTACATGCTAAGTTTTGCTGCTGGTAATCAGCGCAGGAGCAAGTAACCCCACCAGGTCCCCATTTCTACTCCTGGGTGAAGAGAAGCAATGAGGAGAAAGTGTCTTGCTCAAGGACACAAGGGAAATACACAGTGAGGGATTGAAACCCCGACCTCTAGGTTGGGAAACCAAACCGATCCCACAGCGCCAAACCGCATCCACAATCATCATGTTATATAAAGGTAATTGACCTTTGACCCTGAATATTTGATCAACGCAGCTACTAGAAAGTGAAAAAATGTTTTTATATAAATTGATCCCAAACACCTAGGTGTAGCCACTATTTTTGTACATCTAGGCAAACTGGTTTAGGAGTTATTACCATCACCGTTCTATAAAGGTCACTGACCTTTGACCCTGAATATTTGGTCAACGCAGATACTAGAAGGTGGCAAAAATGTTTTTAATAAATATTGATCCCAAAAACCTAGTTGTAACCGCTATCTATATGCATCTAGGCAAACTGGTTGAGGATTTATGACAATTATAGTTGTATAAAGGTCATTGACCTTTGACCCTATATAGTTGGTCAATGCTGCTACTACCAGAAGGCGGCAAAAAATTGTTGACCCCAAAAACCCAGGTGTAAATACTATTTTTGTGCGTGTATAAGAGACAGGTGTTTGAAGAGTTATGACCTAGAATATGTTATATAAAGGTCATTGACCCTTGACCCTGAATATCTGGTCAACGCTACTATAAAAACGCGGCAAAAATTTTTTCATGATTATTCACATATAGGTGTACAAGAATATGCAAAAAGTCCTTTTATTAGAGTTTGTTTAAGGTCAAACCATATTTAGCCTCTACTATTATTAATATCAGGCATAGTAATCTGCAGATTTTTGATTACAAGACTATACCAAGTTAATTACATGTAACAGTGCTGAAATATGATTATTATTATTTATTATTATTATTATTATTATTATTATTATTATTAATTATTGTTAGGCCTATTATGTTACTAAAACCAACCTGTAGGCCTACCTTTAAGAGGAAATAACAGAAGATATTCCCCCTGGGCTAGTTATTAATTATAGGCCTAGTAAATAGTATGGTTTCTCATTACAAGGTTTAGGTCAAGGTATTTAATGCTGACATTATTATTATTATTATTATTATTATTATTGTTATTATTATTATTGTTATTATTATTATTGTTATTATTATTATTATTGTTATTATTAATTATTATTATGTTACTAAAACCAACCTGTAGGCCTACCTTAAGGGGAACTTAGACAATTGAGGAATTAGAGAACAATTAAAAAATCGACGTCTAAGGGAAATAACACAAAAGATATTCCCCCTGGGCTAGTACTTATTTATAGGCCTAGTAAATAGTATGGTTACACGGCTTAGGCCAAGGTAATTAATGCTGAAATTATTATTATTATTATTTTTATTATTATTATTATTATTTTTATTATTTAGTATCATTAATTACATTACAAGGATAGTTTGGCCAAGTTCGCCGCCGAATGGTATATTTTATTTATTTAATAATATTTCTCTCTATTCTCTATTACTCTCTCACTCTATTTTTTTTATTTCATGCTTTAATTTTTTTCCATTTTTTTTCTCAAAATTTCAATCAACGTCTGTATGAAAAGCGTGACTGTTGGTGTCAGCCTAGGACCCTAGGCTATACAACTAGGTAGGACTTAACTTGGCCTGCTGAGTAAGGCCCATAGTTTATCGATTTTTCTCTCTAGCCTTTGGTATTACTGTACCTATCAACACTTTATAAAAGGGGGTATTAGCTGTTGTTGTTGTAGATATTATACTAACATTTAATAAACATCCAAGAAGGTCACACACGTACATCCCATAAATCCGTAAGATATCATAGGCCGACCGTAGGTAAACATAGAAAGAGCAATAATAGTATTTAAAACTCGAGCGTCACGACATTGCGGAGTGTCTGCTTTTGTTCCTCGTATCGAACTTAGTCGAGTCAATCCGAGATGGCCCGAGTGAAGTTTCATGCAAATGTTTCGTACGGAAAAAAAAAATCGCGGCCCGCAGCAAGATCAATGACCCTTAATAGTCAATTTCCATAGCAGCAGAACCGTGGGACTGTTCCTATAAATAGTTTTTGAAGAAGCAGGTACTGGCATTAAATTGCGTTTATCACTGTCACGAATTTATTCCTCCATGCTCATGGCAACAACATGAGTTTGGCCTGGTTATAATACTGGGCGGCGTACAAAGGGTTTGAGCTATGCATAACTCGGCCGGCAGCAAGATCAATCGGACACGTACACTTTGATCCAGTCTGTATTTCCATAGCAGCAGAGCGTGGGAATGTTCCTATGAATAGTTCTAGAAAAAGCAATATACTGGCATTAAATTGCGTCTATCCCGTCAATATTCATGGCAAAAAACATGAGTTTGGCCTGATTATAATACAGTATAAAAGTGTATAGGAAATTTCAGTGGGTTTCGAGTCTTGGTATTCGACATTTAGGTTTTAAATTTTACAGAATAGTTCAATAACAAATGACAGGATATAGTATTAAAATTAATTCATAATAATGAATGAAACTTATGACAAAGCATAGAAAAGAGACTTGTCGATAAATTACAGTACATCAAAATCACGAGATAAACCGACGCAAACAAGTAGAACAAAAACGTCGGAAAACGAACCCTAATTCGCGAAATGGAATCGTCCAACATCTTGAACCAGGGTGACCACTGCTTGGGTATTTACCCAAGATCTTGGGTATTTTGACTTGGTCTTGGGTTCTTGGGTATTCCGTTCAAATCATTGGGTATTTTATTTTTACTAAGAAAATTAAATATTTTTGTCATAGAGGAAGAATTAAGAAGTAACAAAGTATATTTCAGTCCATTCAAGTAAGCAAAACTCAACGAAGTGCACATAACATTGTTAATTGACTGTTAATTGCTATAAACATGGGTTCAGAATTGTTTATTTGTGATTTGCATTGCCATTGATCTTACCTAATTAATACATTACATAATAAAACTTGATCACTGATAACATTTGCCGACTGAGGGCGTGTTTTTCTATCCGTATTATAACACAAACAATTACAATAAAAAATGGTTTATAAATTGAACTAAAAGGAAAACTACACATGCAAAAAACACGGATTTTTCAAATTTTAATGTATTTTCAGGAAGCTTGGGTAATTTTGGGCAAATTTTGCTGAATCTTGGGTAATTTCGACCCAGTCATTGGGTATATCAAAAATTGCGAGTGGTCACGCTGTCTTGAACCACTCGTCGGCAACGCGAAGAGATTATAATCCCCAACCAAGCGTTGTAGACGGGTATAGGCGTTACTTTATTTTGCGAGGCTCCCTAAATCGAAAAACTCTAGAATAAGCTTGAATTTGAACTATTAAAGTATGTGTAGCAGACTTGAACCACTTTTT